AGAGTGAAGCTTCGGAATGGAGACCTCAAATTTGTCCTTTCAGTGGAAGTGCATTTAAAAAAATTGTCGAATGCATTTGGTCCCAAACCACCCTGGGACCGTCGCGTGAGACTCAGAATTACCACTTAGCCCGAGAAATTTCGATATGTGTCCAATGTCCGGATCACCAATTGTTGTAGACCCTAACATGTGGGGAGTTGAGTAGCATTTGCCTGTTTCCCGAGAACAGCACTCAATCGTTTACTGGGTAGCTCAACCTGGTTGTGCTTGAAGTACTACAGAGCATGAAGAAGCGTATGTGAACAGCGATGGTTGTTGACCAACACGTTCTGAGGGAATCTGTAAAGGTACGAATTCCCAAATGGCTAGTAGGAGCAAAAGAGGAATTTGAGGGGGATACACACATGACCAATAGGAACTCCGTGAGATAGAGGTCAGTGTGACGGAGAATGCAATGCCCGGGTTAATGGATGTGATACAGGACGATTCCCTACAGTTCTCTCATTTTGAAAGTCTGTTGCTTAACAGATGTGGTAGAAAAAAATGATCTGTGAGAGCAGAGGAAGCTTTGCTACGACACTTTGCACTAATTTAAGTAAACATTTCGGCCAGAACTCTCTAAAGACCAGACAAATTAATATTACACACCCCTTTTTATAAAGTTCTTTGACCTACGATTTTGTATCCCCATTGGCATCTGTATGGCCAAGTGCATCAGCTTTACATTATGCGCGAGAACCTATACGGAGCATTTTAACTTCTTGTCTGAAAATCTGTTAACTTTAACGTTTAATACTGTTTAGTAGCACATGAATAGATCAAAAAGCGATCAGATGTAACCGGATCAAATTTCTAAAAAAATTTTAAATAAATGCAACAAATGTATGTTATTTGAAAAATGTAATCCACTCTCAACAATTCAGGTGCGACATCAGCAAATAGGAAGAGTACTCCTTTGATAAATTGCAGCATCTACTAGAAAAAGGAAATCCAGGACACACTGTGCTCATAACTTTGACAAGATGGTTACTACTGTTTTGCAAATGCATAGCGTTGCGTTTGTCCTAGAAGACGCTTGACAGCGACTCACTTTTTCCACATGGATTTGTAGCTGACGTCACTTCAACTTTAAGCCGCACTCAATCAAGTTCACAGCTATTTTCGAACAAGCGATTTTCGCCCAGGGTGGAGTGACTAACATCTTCAACATATTTTGCTCTAAAATTCAGCAAAATATTGAAGGTGCTAAGGTTGGGGGTGCTAGCTGGATGTTAGAACGTGCGTGTCACAATGTGCTTACATAAATACTGCTTGACGGTTTTGCATTTCAACTTGACTAGCAACCAAGCGGCATCACTGGACTTTATAATTATCAAAGCTAAGCCCCTAATGCATTGGAATGTGGTCATACAGTTTGTCTGAGGACAAACCTATGACGCAGTAACAGCAGTTAAAAATAACATAGGCTTCATGCAGTCGTTTAAATCACACGAGATCCACTTAAAACAACAAGTCACCATTTGCGATAAACATCGCAAACGCAATATAAATTCTCCCTTCTCCGAACCACATTTCAGCCGTTGACAAGTTTGTACGCAGTTAGAGCAATTTAAAATGAACCCGTCCAGCAGATCGATTTAGGTTTTCACAGGCAGCAACCATCAAGGCCGGATTTAGAGACACTCAAAGAACGATGGCCGGGATTTACAAGATTTGCAGTGAAATGGTCCTTTAATATGTCTGTGCGCGGCAACTGGTTCACGATTTTGGGTCGTGGATGGGACTTGGAATGATCTTGAACCATTTGATATCGTTAGACGACAACTTTCACTAGTGACTATGAACTGCAAGGTTAGCAGCCGATGCCATACGAAGTTGGCAGAAAATGGCAAAAGCTAGTTAAAAAAATTGAAATCTGTGGTTGGAATAAGTTGGGCGCTAATTTGAAAATTGATTTCATTCATTCAAATAAACAAAACCGAAATAACTAGCATGTAAAACCTTTATGTGTGAACAAAATGTCTACATGAAACCTTTCTTATTTTATGGCTAGATAAGGTAAAATAGGTGCACGTATCATGTCAGGTCTTACATAAAATTTACAACCAGAAGAAGCACATCACGAATTCCCGCCTTGAATGTTATCTAGTGACTGTAGAAAAATATTGTGGGTTTTATGTATAAATGCTAACATGAATCTGCATATTCAAACAGCAGTGGGAACTGATTTCATGTTAACATTAAATTTAAATCTAAAAAAATGCTTGTTTTTAGTGATCATATCTCTGGGGATGTATTTTAACGCATTCTCAAGTGAACCATGCAAATGTCTTTGAAACTAGCATTGTAAATTATTGTTTTACATCCGTGGAACAAGTTCCGCTTATTTCTGGTATACCTTGCTTCCCCAATTCTAGCCTGATTGAGTGTTTCTCAAGTAAAGGAGTGATGCAGACTACTTAAATGCACATCCTGAAATTGAAGTCTGCCCTTCAATTTCATCTTGAAGTAAGCAATCAATGGAAAACTCTCTTAGAGTAAAACTTTAGGTTGAAATCTTGTGTCCACACTCTTGGTTACCTAGGATGCATTGTCACGTAGGGGAAGTTTACTTGCATCCGTTTTGACAAAGCACATTTCAATAGGGGCGCGTTCTGCAAAAGCATCACGCTGGCAAGTATTTCGTACAAATTAATTGTTCCTCAGGCAAGTATGCTAACTTTGGGTCTAGCAACTTTACCACTGTTTTCTCTGGGGGATAAGTGCGAAGTTGGACGTCAAACTGTGTGCCACAAGACCTGTGATAGGCCAGGGGATGTCGGCCTGTCACGCTAGGTCATCGCTCAGCTGGGCAATGTCAACGTGGAAATGCTTCACTTAGTGTGCCAGCATCTGCGTCGAAAATCCCATACCTCCCCCCCCCGAAGAGGAATTTATCATGTTCCAAAGCACAATAATGCCAGCAAACCTCCCCGATACCATTCAGTGAGCCTCTGCCAGTGGTTTGCGATGATAAACAAAGACCTATGCAGCAAGTTTATTGGGTAATGTCAACAAATTGAATTGGTTGCAGACGTAAACAAAATAATCCAGTAAATACGCAGATTAATTCCACCATACTACTGACTTATTAGTAGACACATTAGGAAGCAAGCGAGATAGTTCGATACCTATGGAGGGTAGTCAGGTGACAGTGAATGGAGTCGTATTATTAAAATCTGCTAAGGCAAAATGCAACTACATTTACACAAAAACGTGGGTTCTGTCTAGTCTTAGCCACAAAATGCATTTGCCGTACTGGTTCTATATTCTACATAAATGCATAATTCTGAAGTGTTCATCTAGCGCTCTATCGGCGGAATGTGCGGATACCTGAGAGTGTTCAAATTAGTAGTTACAAATGCCAAAACAGAAAGCCTGTTGAAGGAGGTTTGAGTGAGCTAAGACCTAACCAAGTTAACTTAAATTCATTAAAGGCGCGAATCCCGCTTCGGTAATTATACACCTGGCCGTAAATGGGTTATGCATGTATAGAAAATGAAGTTCAACTTACTTGGCACCCTCAACTCATTCAGTTCATTCCTTGTCTCGTTTCGCGGAGAAAAAAACAGATCTATTATGTGACTGTTCCCCAAACGACCTGCATTTTAAAAGGTTGCATGCTGGTGATTAGATCGTCTTCGGTCGCCTGGTCCCTAAAATGTCATATGTGAATTAAGAAAGGCCACAGTCAGTGCAACATCACGGAAAAATACCCTCGAATGCATTTAACGTGACTTTGTTGCGCCATAAACAACAGTTCTTCTGCCAGGAAGGTTGGCGTGGAGAAATACAAGCGTCCGAATCTTCAACAAGTACTCGGAAAGAGTTTAGCTCTCAAGGCAGGCATTATGAAACCTCCATGAAACATGCAGGAACTGAAAGGGTCCGGGGAAGCCCAATGACGCAACGCACAAGAAAGGTGCCAAAATTGCTTCAACAAAACCTGGTTGAATGTCCCTACTGTGCCCCTTCCAAGGGGCCTAGCTTGGTTTGTGCAACCTTTAGGGGTGAAAGTTCAGAAGCCGAAACTTAGTCGAATTTGGAGCCTTGAGCACAATGACAGTTCACCTGGACAGATTCCGACCTTTCATGCCCTTAAGAAGCCTTAATTATTACATTTTCTTAACAATTTTGGCAGCACAGTTTTCCTAGGTCGTTTGTCAACGAAATTCCTTGCCCAAAGTAGACCCTAGGTATGCCCAAATTCAAATAAGTGAGTGTCAGATGGCCATGAAAGCGATGTAACCGCAGTCATACTTCTGGTTTCAGGCTTTATTGGAGCGCTTGCTTAAAAGAAAACAATTTGTTTTCACTTTTTGACCTGTCTGATACCAAAAATACTGTCTGAGGAATATAGAAGAGAATAGTAAACATTCGGCATTCGTGGAATCTTGGACCTTAACACGATTATTTGTGGTTATCCAAACACCGATTGCGGAACCTTAAAACCGAATTGGTATCACGTGCGATTTGCCTATTTTTCAAAGTTGACAAGCTGATTGATGTTGTTACTTAACAGCCTTGTTCATTGCCAATTGGCAAAATCAAGCACAAACAGTTGTTTAGAAAATTCCCTTCGCTTTAAAGTGGGATCATCGTCCAGGCATGTGCGATGAAACTCAAAATAAAAATACACTCGTACACTTAAGGCGACGTTTAGTTATCCGTCACGGCGCGGTTTACTAGCTGATCGACTGCATTGATGTACTGGAGCGTGATTGGTCGAGGTGTCAAGGTTGGCCACAACGCATGTGCGGAGCTTTGCGCGCACGTGCGCTCGATCGTACATTTAAACTACAAGTCTCGAATGAATCTGTGAACAAGATATCCACGCATCATCATCAACCGAATGATCTACTTACCTCACTCAAAGGCTTCCTATTTACCGTGTTGACTGAGGCTAGCTCCACGTGTGTGCGTGCACTTCCAATGATTCGTAGTCTTCGATCGGGATAAGGATGCGCTTGTCTAACTACATTGTGTCAGGACTACAATTCAGCACTATCTGTGCGCTTCTCTGTTTCCTCGTCCCACGTCGGACAACAGCCTATAGGCAGAGAAATTCCGCCGAGTACCAGGATTCCACGGCTTTGGATTTCGCTGCAGACAGAAGCAGTCTGGAGGCCCATATGAGGCAACACACGAGATCATATTGCACTTGTGGCGAAGCTCTCCTCCAAAGCAAGTTCTGCAAACATGATTTCGGTAGGTCTACAAACAATTAGATCAACTTTAACTAGACATTTTCCTTGATAGTGTTATGATGTGGTTTAGAAAGAAAACGGCTGACCAGATTCAATTCATCTTTCCTTTTAAAATGACTTTGTTCTTCTTTAACTAGCTTTTCACGTATGACAAAGAAAACCTAACGGAGTTCAACAGCTCGATTTCAAATTTTAAGTCATGTTTTTCACTTAGTCCAATGAAAGAAATTGACAAGTCCAATTGGCGACTTGGAGTGCTGTGAAATTGCCTTAACTTAGTGTGATTTTACTCACTCAAGACAAAAAATTGGCGCGAAGACCTTACAAATGTATAAACATAGAGTTAGGGATGCATGACCATTTCCAATTAACAAATTTGTGTCCCAAAAGCGTCCCATGAACTCTCCAAATAAGTGACCAGTAACTGCAATATGGGGGATGCAATAATTAGGTTACTAGTGGGAAAACAAGGCGAAAAAAGCCTCTGAGACAAGCGGTAAATGCTGCCAGCAAGTTGTTAGCTAAACTGCGCCGGACTGGAAGTTTTTTGATTTTGTGAAGACTTAAGTCGAGCCACGAAAACCCAAACCCCTTTGCTTGCTCTAGGTTTGTTCGTGTGATTTGTAGAACGGACCAAATCCAATTATAAAGCTAGATTTATCGTTGTTCCATTTTCGTATAAAATTTCATTCGAATAGCTGTCCATTTTTAAATCAAGAATATTTTCAAAAAAATGTTTGATTCCATATAATACAAGGCAGTTACTTCGAGCAATCTAGGCTCGAATGTAATAAGCTTATGTAGGTCGCAAGAAAATAACCAGTTCAGGCGGATATTTTAGTAACGGATTGCTGCAAATATTTCGTTTTTTTGATTAGCGTGCTTTTGCGAATGAAATTCGATCTAGATTTAACAATGCAAAATCCCTCAGGGGTAAGGCGGGTGCTGTAAAATCGACGCGAGATCTGAAAAATCGTGTGATCGGAACTAACAACATACAGTTTGAGTAGCCTAATGCTTCGCCTCATTCTTGAATTGCTGTTTTACGTCTTCATCTGCTTTTGCACTTGATTGTGCAGACGTCGCCAAACCATAAACGGTGTGACGTTGGTCTAGTTCTCTGGGTGAATTAGAAAACTTCAATGGCTCCGTCGTTTTGTGACTAAGAATTAGCCATCTTGATGCTGAAATTCAACGAATGTTTGTTTGTGATCTCACCACGAGCAAAATATGCTGAAAATCATTGAAGTCACATGGAATTTTAGGACTGAATTAAAGAAATCGCAATTTAAGCCGCCATAAAATATCATGCAATTGTGACTACGAGGTTTTAATGACTGGCGGAACACTACATCACGTCAACTCGTGCACTCACAGCGATTGTACGTCTCATAAAAGACCTGACGGTTATCTTGCTTCTGAAATATAATGAAAATTCACTGAGTGCCCGGTCAGTGTGGACAAATTTAGGAAAATCCAACTGACCTTATCCTTATTCGCAAGTTAGCTTTTAAGAGGACAAAATGTGCTAATTACTTTCATTGCACACAACTTCCTTTGGTTATAAGTCAATTACCGAAGGATGAGTTCGTAGAATAAATCTTTAGTTTAAAATAATATAAATTAAAATAAGCAATTTGAGCAAGGCTAAAAAGCATTGTTTTAAAGCACACACCAATCTTGTAGGTGATAATGTGTTTTAATTCTGCTAAATGAAAAAAAAATTTGAAAATTTCAGTATAAATACCCTCATTGAAAATATGATCGCAAATATTTACTAATGGATAAAGCGGAGTGTAGACTTCCATTAATATTTGTGTAATATTAATAGTTTCACCTAGATTTTACAACACTTCAGTGCTTAGTAACATGTTGTAATTACTCCTGCCATTTTTTTCAGCTAAGGTAATTTACGCATGTAATTTAATGCATGAAAATTTTGGCACAGTAGCGACACCTGGGGTAGCTTGAACAGAGGACGTCTAAACAACGAGGCACGATGGATTGCCACCGAAAATGGTTTCAGCACGTGCGTAAAGGCGCTGTACGTAGCTATGGGGCACCTATAAAAACTACGGTTCAACCTATTTTGGCTATTAACCATGTGACCTTCATGATAAACACTGAAGTTTTACCGGGGTGTTCAGATTTACGCGGTCTTTTTTTTCTAATTTATTAAGTGCAAACAATCAATAATGACTACGTAAATTAAAAACAAACATGGTTCCTGCTTTTTCGAGCTAAAATTAAGTACAAAATTCTAAAGTTGGAGCAGGCTTCTTGGAACATTGTAACTTTTTCAATAAATTTGTGCAATCTCAAAGAAATAAATACGGTGACTTCGTAATTGCACGTTGTTTCATTCATCGTTGTTTGATTCTTTTGACTGCACATTTCCTACATGCGCACTTTGACTTATAATGTTCTATTTTGGACCATAATTTTCCTCCTTCGATGTTGATCTTCCTGGGTCGCAATTTTCACCCCCTGGTGACATCCTTTTCAAAATCACCTTAAAACGTGACGTTTTGAGCTATTGACTAACCTCTTGTGATCAAATTTGGTAAAAAAACATCCGCATTTGTTTGTTGACTGTCTGTATTCATTTGTGATCCGATAGAAAATCATGTCATCAACATAGCAGTTACTTTAAAAAGCCTGGCTTCCCACTTACGTACATTTAAATCAGGTTTTCAAGTTAGAAATTTGTTCCTCAACCTGTATTTTTCTCGCGTTGGCTTTGAGACCTCATACGAAGATGCTCAAGCCATTTTTGGAAATTTTTGCGATTTTTTTCATGGTTTTTACTAAGAAATATTAGAATAATATCACTCATAGTGTGAGTCTACTAAACCTGCGGTCAAATCAAAGACAATAGTTGATTTTGCACTATGAAAATGTCACCGCCATTTAATTCGATAAAATGTACTTATTTGATTATTTTTTGCGTATTTTTCAGTTTAATGGAAGCATTTAGAGGGTTTAAAAGTTTAATTGAACTAAGCAATAAACAATGCACTAGAGCAATAAATGTATGCTTACTCAAAGCGATGTGTCAAGTTGATTTTCTGACAATTAAAATAGCAGCTTTTTAAAAAAGAAGTAAATTTAATGCCAGCAGCAGAAAAATGAAAGGGAATTATTCTCAACCAGACAATAGAATGATGTGCAAGGAAGGAATGAACCTGAGATGAATATTTAGAGCAAATTCGCATTAAATTGGCTGCATCGTTCACTAAAATAAGACACAGTTTTCCAAATGCTGCAGTACTTGGATGGTCAGCATTCTGGGAAAATAGGGTATTAAGCGTTTTTTTATCATTAATAACACTTTCTTTGTAAGCAAGGAAGTCGGAAAAAGTCAGGCTCAATGAGTAAACTTCAGGCGTCATTCACCTTTCAAATTTTTTAACAAATCGGCTCAGTTAGGTGAGATGCCGTGAATTCAGTGTCCCGACAGACGAGTAGAACTGATTATAAAAAATGTGACTTTGGCAAACCAGAAGATTAATTTAACCTTGAAAGATACAGACATTTTAGTTTTTGATTTCTTATGGTATACATTTGCGCTGTTTTATCATTGGCTACCAGCGTTAAATAATGTATAATCAATTCCTTTAACGTCTCTGTCCTGGTAGGTGGGATTTTAATAGTCAGCTTTAAAGTTAATCGTTAGGCGTGTGACCAGATAACGTGTAATTGTTTGAATCACTCCACTTTAAATTTTTTTTAAATTAGTTTGCATTAAACCATCAATAATTTAGACTTTTAATCCACACCTACAGACTCTTTTGATGAGCTTCGGCCGACTCAAAATTAACGACCTTTTTATGTAACTCTCATATGTAACTTTCATATGGCTATCAATGATTCCCTATTAGCTACTACAATAGGTAAAATGTCGCATGTCGGTAGTGGTTGATTATGGACTCGATTTAATTGCGTGGCACTGCGTAATAAAATGGCACGTTCTTTTTGTATTTTTGGCTGCTTATTATTTTGTTGCATTTCTCGAAAATAAACAGATCGGATTTTATGATGCAGTTTATTTTGACTGTCAAATATTGAAAAAAATTGACAGATTTTCAAACACAGTGGCAATTTTATTGAAACATTACTTGCCTCCAGGTAAACAATTGCGCCTTATCCAAATAAGTTGGTTAAATAGACTGTTGCAGCGTGCTTCAGTTGAACAGGTCAAGTGTGGTCTGATTGCAAATGATTGTGTTAGTAAGATAAAGTCACAGACTCTTTGCGAATTCTAAAAAGCAGACATTAGCGCCAGTCATGTACAGGCCATCGTGGCCCTAAATAACCCGCTAAATTGTTTTTTAGGTTTAAACACAACCAAAATTCTAACGTATTATTGCACCGTAGGGCAAAAATTTTGCATGGGAAAGTTTCCTTAAAAATACTTGTCCTATATGGGGTGTTTGGGAAAGTCGTTTCGCATTCTGATCGCGTGTGACCATGTAAATACTTGATTTAAACAACACCTTCCTTTCCAGTTGTCGTGGCAAAGCGCAAATCACCGAGAACCCAAAGGTTTAATGGCATTCATGGATCCGGTCCGTGGCACTTCGCTGGCACTGTCATCACACTCAGTGTGGAGCATGTAGTTAAGGGATCGCTTGAAGTGAATAAGAATGCTGACTTTCACTTCATACAAGGTTCTACGTGCGGCGTAACCCCTCACATGATTCCCCGAGAAAACAGCACCTTTTTGATAACAGGTAAGCATGCTTTTCTAATAACATTGCCATCATCTAAAGAAAAATTGTGGTTCTGGGGGAGTTTCCACCGATTTCGAGCATCCACTGACTTGATTACAGTTTAAAATGTTTTGAAACCGAATCGCAGGCGCTGGCTGTACTTCGTCTTTTTTCAATAGGAAGCCTAAAAACTTACATATTTTTACACGCATTGGAATTTTTGTCAATAATGAAATACCGGATATCAGAATCTGAAAAAATCACCGACAAAGTAGGCGTTGGTTTTTTATGCAGTCTCCGTCTAATTTTTTGCATTGCAACTTGTTGAAAAATAAGGCCAGCCTATTTTGTTGTTTTTTTTTTAGCTCACCACAACTTGCTGCATCATAAATTATCTACTTTGATTGTCACCCGATAAATATGACTATGTGAAGATTTATGTGTAATGTGAATTTATTGCGCCTTTTTTCAAAATGCGCCACGCAGAGCCCATGTCACGTTTTCGTTTACTTATAAGTAATCAACAAGTGGATTCTGGTTTATTTTTATTCTATACCAGAAGTGCTTTATAAGTCAATGCAAAAGCTGTCGTTTTTTCTACTAATTTAAATTTATTAATGGTAACCTAGAACCCAATGCAGGTAAACCTCAACGCGCATTTTACAGTTGATGACTTTAACTTGGCGCTTAGGTTGTGGTTGTCCAGAATAAAAGCTTGGCCGAGTTGTCCGGTTTCATGAAGCCTAAACTGCTTCAGATGTCCGAAATAACGAATTTTTAATCAAAGTTGGTTCAAAATTAAACTCTCAGTACACCTCTTATTAAACGCGTAGGTATGGTGTATCGAAGTTAAACAGGTGATTTCAGACAGCAGCGTCTTTCTTAGGCGTTTACGCCAATAACTGGTTTCTGGGTTAATGATGCCCGAGTTTATTCTCACTTAGTTTCAGCCAGTTAGTTGATAACGTCTTGTTTGCTTTGACAAAGGATTTCACCTCCGCTTCCCAGGCTGTGATAAAGTCCATCAAGACAACTGTCTGCAGACTAAGGAGCTGTTTCTTGTTACGCGATGCAGCGCATCTCAGCCGCTCGAAAGCCTCTCCATCACGCAGGTTGCCGGGCTGTTTTTGGATCTCTACAGCTGCAGTGCCGGCTCGTGTAGCGTAGGTTTTATTAAATTTACCCGCTAGCTAGCTGGATGGCAAAAAACTTGTTACTGTTTCCGTGGGAAGTTTAATCAAAGCAGACGACAAAGAATTTCTTTCACTCCCTTTGCATGATATTGGCAGACTGTGTCCTGTTAAACACTCTGATGTACCGCATCACGGTACTTGTGGTTTTGGAAATAAAAAAATCATCTAGAGTACATTATTTGAATCCAGTTGCGAATTCCATTAGGTATAAATTTTTAAACTCACAAGGCGCTCTAGTTGTTGGGGATGAGTAAGCCCAAGATAAGTAGACAAAAAATTGCCCTCATGCAGCATTTTCATTTGCGTTTTAGGATTAATAGTGATAGCACAGTTTAATAGGAAGCACTAGTTCCACTTTTTGTAAAACAAGCGCAAATAACGCATGTGTGGCATTGTATTATTATGGTAATCACTATAGGCTACCAGGCATTCAGACATAAGCATTAGAAGCCTTTGATGTATTACGTAGAGTCATTGTGGATATCAGATATGTAAGTGATTGAACTGACTGAATAATGGCCAAAATAGTGTCAAATATACGAGGTGCGTGGATTTGTTGCAATTAGTAGACGAATATTAAAAAAACAATTTTTACTGCAGGAACTTCGACCATACTTCTGGGAGCCATTACCTCAAAGCCCAACACCGTTCACCTGCTCTTATTCCTACACTGCACTTCGTTGCTACACCAGATTTGCCCTCTGTACGAAATCCTCCCTAACACCGAACACCTGTACATTTCGTGCCGTGAATCGTATTCCCACAAGCCAAAGCGTGCTGGCTAAACTCCCACCCGTGCTTCACCCAACCATCCACGGAGCTTTAGCATCCCAAGTGACCGACGAACATCGGTTTCGCGCATGTCTGAGGCATTCGGGCCTTGCCTGACCTCTTGACATTCTACTCCAGTTTGTACATACACAAACCCACACACCCACACCAGTTTTCGGGCAAAGCCATTTGCATTTAGTGCAACTGTCTACTGAGTGTCATTTCTGTGGACAAGTCCGCCGCGCTTGCCAGATGTCTGAAACAGCATTCAACACGCACAATTTATCCTACTACCTCTTTCATTATGACCTCGGTTCTTTCTGAGCCAGTTTTGAACTGAACAAACCTTTCCGTTGTGTATAGTTTTGCACTGTGGTCCCTTAGTTACTGAAACAGACAAGATGTAAATTATTTTGTGACTGATGTGGTCGTAGTGCCTGAAATTTTCGCTTTCTTCTGGTGGTTCCAATTGGGTGGATTTTGGAAATGTATATATACATATTTACACTTGTACAATTAAAAAAATATTTGAAGTTTAATCAACGATTCACATTGTAAAATGCTAGAACTACTTGTTCTTTAAAATTCCTTTGTGGTTTAGCACAAATTCTCAAAGCGGCATCAATCTCACAAGGTTTTATTTCAAAGAAAGATCAGCAACACCTTTCCTAACCCCATCATTCGACCCAAATGCTAAGCTGCCAGAAAGGGATCAGCATAACTTTATAACACACCACTTGTCTGGACTAAAGTCATGATACATTTGAATAAGCCGAACGTTTGTAATTTTTAGGGCCTAAGTGATTCTGTACACGCTCTGTTGATCGATTGCACAACGTCTGAAGTCAGTGGTAGTGTTGGAAGAAAGACGACAACACGAACAAGTTGGTACGGATATTTTTACCTGTCAACAGCTTCAATATAAATCTCGGCTCACAATGCTTTCAAGAGCCCTTTTCGATATATTCTCAAAAACTGATGGCTTACCGATATAAGAAAGCAGGTATCTCATGATCTGTCCGATAAAATGAGTTCAGCAGTTTGAGTCATTTAGTGCTTAATCGAAATTGGCAGGTGGACTGGACTAGATTAGCATAATTTTGTTTATGATTGTTCCAGAGCGGGCTTATAAAACCAACCAAGGCACAAACCACACACCATGTTATTAGTTTAAGCTGACTATTAAAGGAACAATAAGCAGTTTGACCACGAGATTAGTTTTAAATCTTTAGCACCGATTGCATTTTCCTTGTTAAAAATAATTTCTATAATCAAAAGTAACTAATATCTAAGGTGGGAGCTAGTTTTGCGCTGTTGTTGGGATTTGCTGTAACTTCAAAGGTTCCGAAAGGGCCTCCTAATTCGTATGATGGCTTATCAGCAGCATTTCTGCTTTATGGCCTACCGCTAAATGGATTATAAATGGTTATCTCGAATACTACTTCAAAGCAAACCTTTATTGTAATTGGTTGGAGATGATTGGTGATATGGACTCTTCTCTGGATTGTACCCGAAGTTGCTGTTTACCGTGGACTATTCGCCAATACCTAGCAAACCATTGAAAATGTACAAAACGTTAGCTAAGTGCGCAGTTGACCTGTTTCACAGGCATGGCCCAGAGGGAAAGTGGTAACTCCAGTGATACTGCTTTGCTTTTATGTTATGACTCCGTGCTTTCGTGCCCCGTGCGCGCAGTTGTAATTAGCTTCAAAGGCAGGACACGGAAAATCAGGGGTGAAACAACAAGTTATTGTAAAGAAATGACCGGTTGTTGATCTGAAATTTGCACAAATGAAGTCCATTGATTTCTTGCTGAAGTCCATGAAAATATCGTAGCACTTTCTAGAAAAATCACCAAATCAATCGGTCATCAGGATGATCGCATACCCAAACTGCTAAATTTTAATTGATAATTTAACCAACTTTTATGCTTATTTGTATGAAGGCGGAAAGCCTAATTTTGTAGATATCCATATAAAAAACTTTGAACTTAATGGGGCCATGAATTAAGAGCACCAGCCTTCCTATTCATGTAGAACACAAACACCATTAGTGACACCAAAAAGTAAAATTTATCGTTTTATGAAATACATTCTGCTGCAGTTAAATGCGTTATGGTCCTTTTTTCAAGTCATAGCTTACCTAAAAAATACAGTTTAATTAAATTCTTCATAGAAATCACGCATGTTTGTTCAAAACAAAATCATTTGAGAACGTTTGACTTCTTAAAGTTGCATTAATGCCAAGTCCCTTGATAGAACATTGACTTGTGGGGCAATTCTTTTGTCACTTATCCAGGAGATAGACGTTAAAATGGTTACGATAGCATGACGCAGGATACTTTAACACAATTTGCAACAGGTCTGCTTAGGCTGTAATTAAACCGATTACCGCAATAACGGAAGCATTAAATGCACGGAGTTTACTATATTAAAGAAGAAGATTTGGTGCTTAAGGTCTGTTTGTGACTAGACCAGAAGCCTTGCTGAATTAACTACCTAAAAATTACTTCCCTAGACTGTAGATAATGTAAAAAAAATTGGATTGGTCTGTTGTTTTGTCGGTGACAGTCTTCACTAAGCAGCACCCGTGGAATTCCAAATAATTGTCTGGGTGATCAGTTTGGCATGACCAAATCAGCATTTGTTGCAGCATGTACGACTTGTCCGCATTATGATCATGGACATGTTTGGCTGATGCTACAGTAGACGACCAGTATTCATTACCAGATAATATTCGGTCTAGGGAAGGGGCAATATGTACCGCGTTTGCAAGTAGTGACTTGTTGCGTTAAGTGAATTTCATGTGATTTGAACTGAATTAGCAAATTAGGCTTCTTAACGAATTCATTAAGCTTACGTTATTTTTGACGTCTCCAAATGTGAGGTGGCTTTGTCGTCTGACCAAGTGCTGGACCACGTTCCAATTCATTTATGGCTTAAATTTGATATTCATCAAGTCCAGTGATATGGCTTGATTGCTGGTCAAGCTGGAATACAGAAGCGCCAGACAGTAATTCTGTAGGCCTATTTTGACACATGTGCTCAGGCAAGCAACTGTTCTGGCCCCTAGCATGTGGTCTTGAACCACGCCGGGGCCAGTGAAATAACCTTGGCCCGGTTACGCTTCCCTGATACCCGCAATGAAGAAAAAGACCGGAGAGGACATGGACACACTCACTTATTTCGGAGCTCAACCAAAACTGGTGTCGTTGGACCGTGGGTGGCGCTTGCGCATGTGCATTTATGCCTCAGATACGTGAGTCATAGATCAGCTAACATCGAGACCTAAGTGTAAGAATAATCCAAGATAAATATTTGTGCAAATGAGGGGGGAATCGAGGATCCGCGCGGCTGGCGACATGCTGCGAAAAGGGGAACCCTGTGTCGGAGGATGGAGCGACCGGATTGGGGAGTGTGAATAAACACGATTCACAACCAGCATCCCCAATTTTTTTAAGAACCTCAACACCCCTAGTGTTTTAACGAATATAGGACAAAGTGAAACATGACGAAGCTGTTATTCCTTCCACTGTTTGAAAATAGCTGCGACCCTGATTGCCCGCGGTTTGCATCTGAAGTAGGCTAAAAGCGGCATCTGCAGCAAATCCATCTGAGAAAAATTTGGTCAGAACAAACGCTGAGCTATCTATGTTGCGAAGCGGAATACGCCTTCTTGATGGTACCATTTGTACAATGCGGTGTCATTAAATGTTGGTTTAACTGGCAACGTGCATGCGTTTAACTGTTGTACCAGGAAATTTGTCGACGTTTGTCCGCATGTTCCGTACCATCGTTCACCTTTTTTCCGTGTTCACTTTATACTTACTTCACCAAGCTAGCGGAAACTGGTATTCAGTGTGCATTTTGCGGATGTATGGTACACCATAGTACCTGGAAATATTCGGGAACCGCTGACCCCAGAAATGTAACTGACTTCCAGCGTGCAGTCCTCTGGCACCGACTTGATACATGTCACGGTAAATATCGTTGTGAGGCTAAGTTGGCATGTGAAAATGAAATCAAAATAACGGTTTGACACGTTCACTTGTGTGTGCAATAATGCAGTAATCAAGTCATCGGAAAATTTAGCTAGGTTGTTCCTTTCAAGGGCATGAAAAACACTACTAATTTTAACCATTGTCATCCTAAGAAGGCTTGTGGACGAACTTTACTCGCGAAATCCACAAATATGAGATTTTCCGGTGAAATTTCCATGTACCTATGCTGAACCACTAATTTCTTTCTACTTAATCGGTACTAGTTCTTGTAAACAGCATTAAATGAATTATGCAACCTTAATATCTCTAAAATAAGAAGGGCAGACATGCAAGGTCCCGATTTCTGTCAAGTCGCTGGTCGCTATGGTGCAGAACTGCGTGTTAGTGTTAGCGAAATCGCTTCTAATTGGCATGCATAACTAAGATTTACCTGAAAGGTCGTGACACGTATTTTGACCTTAATGAACACTAAAATCACGTAGAAATTTTACAATTCAGTCGCAAGTTAAAGGTCAGGCACTTTTTGGGTACTTAATACCATACTCCTGACTTAATAGAAAGGTAAGTTCCCACGTTCAGAAGTTTAAATAAATCCATTCATATGAGCGTTTGAAATCATGACAATTTGTACACATCGGTTCCGTTTGTCAGGATTTGCGTCTTACGCAACTGTTAAAAGACATTTTCAAAAACCTGCTCATATATTCCAAACATCATGTTTATGTCAATTATAAAAAAATTACTCTCTGTCCCAGATGTTCATCCACAGGTTCAGTTATTTTCAAGCCAAAAGGACACTGCTAAGTAAGAATCATCAAGTTAATTATGAATTACAAAACTGCGATGCTAATGACGGCCAGCGCTCCTTGAATTGTGGTCCAGCTAAGATCAACTTTTCCAGTCTATCACCAATTCATAAGCGTTATTTCATCAAACGCATACTCATACATATTTGCAGTTAAATTTGTCAACTGACAATTTGATTGGGGAAAAGAAGAATCAAATTGATATTTTGAAATCAGAATGAGACAATTATTAGCTGACATTTGCAAATATTGCATAAACATGTCTCTATGCACAACTCTTTACTCCATTTCTCTTAGCGAACTGGAGATACGACACAAACTTACAATCGATCAGAATTTTCATTCAGAGATGATTCTCCATATCAATTAGATGTATCATAGAGACAGCCATAGACAAATGAGGTGCATTGGCGTGGAAACTGAAGATTTAAGAGGTGGTTAATCAACTTTTTGGTGCCAATGCAGAAAGTTGAAAACCTACTAAAATAATGACTGGTGTCGGATCAATTATTGTATTTTACCTTCGTTTCAATTGCTGGCTGGTTTGAGTAGAATTTGCAATTGCGAAAACTGCGTTCAGTAATTATACAGTTTGTAAGCTGTTAAAAACCGGTAAATATGAAGAACTTGTCTGTTTTAAGTGCCTCTGTTGTGGCTAAACAAAAGCACTATTTTAAATCAAACTATAACTAAAAAACAACAAGACTTAAAGTTCCAAGCTCGTAAATGCCGATAGGACTATGACATTATATTATGTAATATTTTTTCGACAAAACTCCAAACCAATTAAGATGTTTGGAGCCAGCTTTGCCTTTAAAGCCGAACCCATTTTTCGACATTAAATAACGCTTTTTCAAAAGGTGTTGCAAAAAATTTGACGACAGCCTTTGAGTGTTCGAAACCGACCTAATTGCACACACTTTTGATGATAAATGGCGAGTTGTAAAAGATTAGAAGGAAACTCAAGTCCAAATCACACCATGTCACGCACGCCTTAACAGCTATAAAATTGCAAAAAACTAAACTTAAAAGCACCATAGGTTTTCCGCTTGGATGTTTTGACTTTAAGACACACAAATTAAAAAATTAAACGATTGTGTAAAAGAATGTTTTGCTTGTTCTCACTGACAATTTCACGATCCCTTCCTTTAGTATATATTAAGCATCGACTACTCGAGACTCCTAGGAGACATTAACCTGAAAACCTACGTACGCTATGCACCGATAATATTTATATTTAGCGTACGCCTAATATATTGCTTCATTTTGTCATAATTTTTGTACTTTGGTTACAAATAGATTCCGGCTTTTATTGAACGTCCTAACAAATTACTATTAGTAATGTGTGCTATGCAAGCCACTGCCCAGGAATTGTCAGTATTACATAGAATATGCTACATCCCATAATATCATCTCACAGACACTCAAATCTTCACGATGGTTGCAGTAAATAGAGCTACTATGAAATGCCGATTGGCTAGCATTCATAGTCACGTTGTTTTTTACCTGTAACATTTGCGTTTATACCCAAAGGATCATATAATCAAATTTCGGCAAACCAGTCGTCCCGCTGGCAAAATCAACGAAATAAATTTTTCGCGCATAAAGTCCAATTTGTAAAAAAAATACCAACGGCCATTGTTCTTAAACACAAGTTGATATTCATGTACAATTTTTACACTAATCATCAAGGAAACCCAAAATCTTACTAATACTAAATAGGAAAAGCATCTAGATTAAATGGGAAATTGGTCAAAAGTCGAACTATAATTGACCTGGATAAAAATTAGTTCATCAACCAGCTATGGCGATTTCAGAAATTTCCAAAATATCAAAGTCTGACCATGAAAAGCACGTAAGATCTTCTTAGACCACAACAGATGCCCTGAATATATTTAGAGTACTTAGAGTAGTTTACCCTAATGTAATTAACCATTTAAACGTTCCAGACTTTTAGTAAATTTTCGCAGCTTATATAGCCAGCCTCATCATAGTTAAGAAGCATTTTACAGATGACAATACACAATTTAATTCTTGCTATGTAATAAGATAATACAATGCATGATGCCATTGTGATTTCTTCTTGCATCAAAACAGGTATCTGAGTATGGCTACAAAATCAGCTTGCATTCATTGACCGGATGTTTAAAATCCACTGAGAAATTACAACAAAACCTATATATTGTGGATAAGACATTTTCCAATTTCCGCAGTTTGCGTTTTCACTTTGAGAGCATTTAAAGTGAGTCTTTAACAAGCTATATTTTGATTTGCTTGGTTATTCCTTTGGGCCCTGAGGCTGCAACTGTGTAATATCATATCTCTAATATTAGAGAAGTAGAAACAAAAGGGAACAATTTCTGAGCTATTCGAAGCCAGAACCGTCGGAAATTTATCATCCGTCCGAATCCTCACTTTATGTACTACTTTTGATCCGTCCATGGTTCCGGTTGGCTGCTGATCGTCAATGTTGGCTATTCAAACGAACGCAGACGGTGGATTGGCTTAGCTCGGGTTAGCCAGTATGTCGGCGCCCTAAAAAAGGAAACACCATGCTGGCAGTGAATAAGTGCGTCACTAATGCACTGTTTGGTAAGAAATATCAAGTGATAATGCCTACTAGTCACATTGCGAAGATGTGTTTCTATGATGACGATCCAGCCTTCTCCCGTGCCTTGGAACTTTACAGGAACTAAAAATTTGGCGTGTATATCTGTTTACGAGAAACCTAAAGCAGTTCTGGACTATCCCCTCCCCATTTTTCCTTTTCAACACCCTCCCTTACATGATAATCTTGTTCCTCTTCCCAGTGGTCTCCTGATCCCGTTTACTTTGCCTTCACAATCAAACGAAGACAAGTATCACTGTGTCAATGACATTCAGAATCGTCGCCGTAAAATGAAGAAACACAAACGTCGGAAATGGAGAAAAAAATATGCATCGCTTGTAAGTAAGTTCAAGATGCAACGCCAGAAGAAAGAAGAACGGAAATTACAAGAGTTACTGGAGCTTTGGCGGAGCCGCACGGAAGCCTGGGATCCTGCTGAAAAAGTCGAGCAACGTCTTATGTTTGCTCGTCGGTCTGGTTACTACCTTAATATTTTGTCTTCTCGTGGAGGCCTTAAATGCAAATAAATCCTTCTTTAGCCTACTATGTCTTGTACTTAATATTCACATACCTGTTTCTACAACCAACCATTTTTGTAGGCGCAACCTAAGCGAGAGTCAGAGCCCGAACTCTCGAACCCGATTTCGGATACAGAGGAGGGTCAAAAAGCTCTTTTAGAAGCTACAAGCATAATTCGAGATTTAACTCTGGCTCTGAACAGGGTGTATGAGAATATACGCGATGTTCAAGGCACCCAGCGGTTGAACGCCGACCTGTCTAAGAATTTCAAAGAACACGTCGAACACTTCCAGCATTGCCGAAGCACGATCAAAAAGGTTAATCGTCCTTATCTCAACTTAGGCAACGACTGTAAATAAAATTTGTAGTGTTCTCGATCGGCTTGGCGTATCTTTAAATTTTCATTGCTACTCACTTGAGCTATTTCTCAGGTTGCGTAATTTTAACGTTCTGCGGCCGTTATCTTTTGATCCTAGGCATTTACCTCGGTTGCGGAAGCTTGCTCTCGCTACAACATTAAAGATTCGGAGGACATCATACCCTATGTTGACGCTGTGGGTGACACCGAACATCAGAATTTGATGGATGGTGATAAATTCGTTGAGCTAAGGAAACAACGGGATGTCCTCCAAGAGCAAATCGCTGAAGCGGATGATGAACTCGACCGATGCAAAGAAGCTCTAGTCTCGGCATTGTGGGAACTAAATGACTTAACTTACCCAGTCGGCAAATGACTTCCCCCAATTTTTTTGTAAATAACCTGTAAATTTACTTTAGACATATCTGTTCTGATCAATTATTGTCATAAACAATGATTTGTAGTTACTGTAGATACATAGTCATGATTCGCAGTAAATTATTCTAAAGAAAGTGGGAATTACCCCTAACTTTTTGCCACTTTTAAAAATTCAACATTGAGTCAACGTCCTGCGGGGTTTCAGTTGGGTGTCCTCTGCCAGACCCTACAGGTATTTCATAGACACAAATGGCATTTATTCACAATCAAATGGACATGATAAGTAGAAATAAGGGGGAAGGTTTGTATGGCGGTCAATACTGATTGTCGGTGAAACATTAAACCAATTTCTTGGCCAAGAAGAAAGAACGCAGGTTCCGCATTTGGAAAAAGCCAGTGAAGACCAAAAGAAGAACCTGAGCAAAGCTCCACCACGTTACACGGTTGTTGATACTTTCACTGAGACGGCGGAAATACTCCTCCCTCGCCTATCAAGTAAGGAGAGAACAAAGGGCAACATTAAAAATAAAACTGCTATACTTTTATGCAGTTATAATTTCATTGTCGATTCTTATATCGGTTAAATAGGCATTGAAAATGCCGGGAGAGAATATAAAGAATAGACACGAAACGTATCAACAATCCTGTCACCAATGTCAGTTTCGTGATGCAATGGAAATTATCAGTTGCTATTAAATTCGTTAAAATGGGTTAACTCCAATAGTAAGTTGTCAAGGCTAAGGATATGCATAAATTAACAAAGAAGCGGAACGTGCAATACTTACACGCTGAAAGTCCTGATCTTTGGAGAGCATCGCCACCTGGTCAAGCAACTGACGAATACGCAATTCAATATCGTTAAGTTTCTCTTTTGAGGCGATCTCCTTGTAGTTGACGGCGTGATCGCCAACAGCGATATCAAGGGCAACGCGCTAGAAAGGGTGCTATGACTTGTTGTTACAAATTACCAGTAGATTTTTTGACCACGAAGAGGCACTCGAGGAAAGGCAGATGCTGTGCTCGCCTGCTGTTTGAGAGGTAATGACAAATCGACCCTCTGATGAGTACATCTAGAAAGGAAACAGAGGTTACCTAGGTAATGATTAAGCCACAGACAACGTAAATTAGGGTTAAGCACGTACACGAGAGAGAATAACCTTCCCGTCCGGATCCTTTATTTCGACATGTATACCATGTTCTGATGACTGTACAAACTGTTTGTCTTGCAAGACAGCAATCTTGTAGCTGCCTGTATATTGTAAATTTAAATATTAACAGTAACATGCCTGCAATCAAAGTGTCCTCCGGTACCTCCTCTAAGAAACACTTTACAGTTCCCTCTTTAATATGAAAATAAATGCCGGACACTGAGTGTGCGAAGAGAAGCGACGTTACCACTGCCCACAATAGAACCGCCATCGAAAAATTGACGTGTTCAGATTGTCAAAGTTTTTTAACCTCAGCGCCTTGTGAACCGCCAATTTAAACAGTAATAATAGTAAAAAAATATACCTTATTAAAAAAAGCTAAATATATAGTTAGTTTACTGAGTGTTAATAAACGTTTAGACACATTAATTTCATTAGCTCTGCAAATCCGGAAATTGGTTTCTCAGAGATTGGTTAAGTGCAAGAACAATGAGGACGAATAAACTAAACCGCTGGGCGTTAAATATCTGTTTAGAATATTTAGCACATTTAAATATAGGGTGCTTCCATAAAAAAAATAAGGGTTAGGGGAGGTCTGACAAGACGAATTTTGGTAACATTGGAAACCAATTTTTTAGCTCAGGATTTTTTGTAACTACAAATTATTTTAAACCTAATTCTGCGTGACATTTTTAGCTGAAAATTTGTCAAATTTCAAAAGCCTCAAAATGTTCTCAGATGAAAAATAAAACAAGCAAAGTTCTTTGGGAAGATATGAGAAGATTTACCTACATGAAAACATGAAGATAATATTTGAGTTAAGTACCAAGGTGAGTCAAGTACCAAGTGAGTCAAGGTCCACTGAAACTAAGCCTTTGTGACCTTTGATTCCGTTTGTTCATCTAGGTCACTTAGGATCATGAATGGTCATTTGCGATCGTATTTGATGTTGGTGTTTCCGAAATGTGGTGTCCACAGACACTTGTTTAACATTTACGGAAGACTATGGCTAAGGACTATGCCAAAGCTTCATAGGAAAGCAGTAAGGTATTGGAATAACGAAAAGTTTGAGTTAAAACTAATATAGCATTCTATAGGCAAATTTATGGGTAAATGGTCCATGACAGTGATAGTGGTTCTTGAGAAATTTTTAACATTAATAATCGATATCTCATTTCAAGATTAACAGTAAATACGTGTGTTATTGGTCTAAACTCATGAGAGATGCCTGGTAGTGTCCAAGTGTTTGAAAAAATCGGATTTCTGGCACAATTTAATGGCTAATGTCAAAAATCTAAATTGTTGTCCATTGTATTTATATGAATGAAAACAAGCTAAATGTGACTTCGAATTATATCATAATTAGTAACACGATAGTAACGTACAATTATGACCAACTACAATATTTTTTCGCCTTTCGCAACTTCTGTCAAGGCCGAACGTTGGCATGACCATTGGTTTTAGTAACTTAAGTTTAGTTTAAATGCAAATAAATATTTTAAATTGCTAAGAGAAAGCTAGAATGATCAACGACTTTAAATGGTTAGGTTTGGAAAGCTTGAAGATGAAAAGCTTAATTTTGAAGTCATAGGTTTGAAGGATCAATCCCAGGACACTTGCAAATCTCGTCTCCTCTAATTCTGCGTAACTAAAGAACAAGACTCAGAAAAGAATAGAAAAGTTAGAGATATAATCCACAAGTCCGGAGGTTTGAGTTTTATGGCGAGTATTTGAAGTTGAAACAGCATCAATGTGGAAGAAGTGGACTCATCCTTATCATCTTTTTGGACCAAGGAACTCTTTGAGACTTAATGGAGATGGTAAGTTTGGAAATAGTGAAAATTATGTCCGATGTGAATGAGCTATTGCCTGGTGATTGTTTCTGCATAAGTTTCGAGTGCTGCCAATTATCCTTTGATGATTTTTTTTCTAATTCATCCAAAGAAAAAAAATTTCAAACATTTCTTTTTTAGCAACGTTAGTATAATGGTTCCTGTCTGTACTACGACGTGCACGATAATGCTTTATCGTTGTTCGTGACAGTAGAAAATTCCAGATGTATTACGATTTAAAGTGTGTGGAAAGTTTGCATATCAATGTCATGAAATGGTAGAAAACCCATTAGGCAAATTATTCTTAAATACAGCTCCATTGCCAGTAACATCTGCAAGGTCGAAACCCAGAGATACAAAATTTTGTAAGTAAATTTTGGCTAAATTGACTAATACCAGGCTAGAAATAAATCCGGCAAAGGTACCTCTGTCAAGCTGAATTTAGAGTTGCTCGATCCGATTATAAATTTAGCGACAACTCTTACCTTGCACAACACTTAGCATCAAGGCAGTCGAAAGGAAGTCTTAAATTCGTTTATGCGGTAAAATTTATATCATTCACATTATTTTGCAGAGAACAAAGCAGACGAAAGCGTGAAACTATCGATCAAAGTCGTTTTAACCATCTTAACAGCAAAAACATGATCCAACATGCGTCTTGGATAGTTGACCTCGTAGTTCTATCACCCACTGCCTTCATGAACTCATTTTGCCAAAAATGACGCAAATTTAGCTCCTTTTTCTCATGGTTACTAAAAGTTTCTCTTGGAAGTTAATTTATGTTACCTTATTTAAAATATCTTTGATCACGTTTAATCATTTCGTTATAATTTTTTTGTTAGCTTAGAAAGCTTGCTGCTCTCACACAAGAGCAAATGGTAGGAATTGCATTAGTGCTTAATTACATTCAATTTCAACCTTGTGGCTGCACTTATGCGTTGTTATTTACGCCTTGGAACTGGCTCTGTGTTGATTAAACAAAACATACCGTTATGAATCTTGAGAGAACATTTCTACCCCGCTAATATTTGTTTATACTTAAAAGTCAAACATGCAAACAGACATAGTCGTAATCTTGTGTCTGTTACCACAATGATATGGGTGTATTCTATCAGATTTCCGTGCTGAGAGGACGAGGCAGAAAATAAGTACTTCGTTTTAATTTATAAACCGGATTTTCAGCGCTAAAAGTGTCCCATTTATCAATTTATGGCCTTAAAAACAATGGTCGCAGTCATTTTTTGGCCTTTTTAAAAGCTTTTCAATTCGAATTTGTACGACTTTTCTACAAGAGGCGGTAAATGCTGAATTATTTAAATTTAAAAACGTTTAGAAATGGCCTTAGCAAATCAGTTTCTCATTTTATGCAACTACCGGTAGTGTTTCGAGAAAAATAAAAGAAATATTTAAGGGCAGAAATAGAGATCACTATATTGTATTTTCCGAACATCATTTCTAACCACGCAAACCAATCAGAAATCTGGTTTAGCCGTCGAAGACAAGACACGCCGGGGTCACCAAATGCAGTTATTTGTGGTCTAAGCACTACCTTACAATCCTCTAGTCAACAGCCCAAAACAACCCGACAAGAGCGGAAAAAGAGGCGACAGTAAACACGACCGTTTATCAGCGTCACACCAGCCAAGTGTCTTGGTGTGTGGTGGAGTGAACGGAGGACAGGGGTCTGATAACGGTAACCAATGGAAAAAGGGGTGAGTCATTGTCACCGTCAGGTCAGTAACCAGGGTTCACTCAGGCGCGATCGCTGTTAATCCGCCACACCTATTTGTCAGAAAGAAGTTGAGCAAATTTCAAGCCTATTGCGTTCACTTCTGACCCTTATTTTTTACCAAAACTAATCTTCGGTAATTACAAATTCTGGATTTATTCAACTAGGGCAATAAACATTAAATTTTAGCAAACATTTGTCTTTTAATGCGGTACATTCCCGTTTTGTGCTTGTCAGTGGGTAGTCAGTCAGTGCAACTGCTGCCTGCTTGGCTTTCTCTTTCTACAGCAATTTTTTTTCCATAAGTGCAACTAAAACTGCTAAGACACTTTAGGCAGGATTAAACTTTGTTGGTGTAAGTTCGCCCTTCCTCAAACGTTCAAATGCCTGCTAGTGTTTGCTTTGACCTTCAAAAATTAAATACCACAAAACGAGAATAACCCATTACTTACTGAGATTACTTAGGATAACCGTTTATGATTATTTACATATCCACTCCTCAGTAAGCCCCACACCACCGTGAACATTCTTGTAAGTCATTGTTCGGAAATTGAACATTAGAAAATCAATTCCTGATAACTGTAGTCAAATTGCCAAGTCCCGTGTGTCGTTGGGATAGCACATCCAATGACATATTTGGATTTTATAACACCCAATGCCACCTAGACCATTTCACAGCACATTGATCGTTTAACCTTCTTGGCCAACGCAGGGATGACCACGGAAGGCGAATAAAAATTGCATCTGTTGAAGGCCTTGTGAGTGTCCGACGAAGACCTCGTCAGAGTTGACGTGAGGAAAAGCGCAATTGGTGGCAGGGCAGGCCTGGATTAGATGATAATTAGCATGAAGGTCGGCGTGCAACGCGATTGACGCACGCGCCGGATGTGGGTGTGCGTGCATGCGCGTGGTTCAGGCAAGGCGAGGCCCTTTGACCACACCCATAACCCAACAAACCGACGCTCCATCGCGCCTCTCAGGCGGTATTCTCCTGTCTTAAAACGGGCATGCAGTTTCTACATAAACATAGAATGAAGGAACAGGAATGTCAAGATCGAGCATGATCCAATGCAGACTAGCATTCAAAACCCGGTGATGGAGCACACGTTGATCAGGACCTGACCGGTTTTTAAAGTGGATGTTTTTATTTTGCGTTCTGTTCTCTCATTTGATTGACAACAGGTTATTCATTATATCATACAAAAAAACTGTGAAGAATTTCAATCTGCAAAGAAACCCAATGAAAAGTTTCTGGTTGAATGAAGTTTAAAATAAGGTTGCGTTGGTTCAGCAGTAACGAATTCCATTTTGGTGTGAATCTGTTGCCTGAAAGGAAAGTTTCATTCACGTTTTGAGGAACAGAAACTGCACAGTGGATAGACATAGAGCTTCAACCAAAGGTCAAAACTGGTCGTGACACCTGTGAACATGTAAAAACTGAAGATCCAACATTACCCTGAATTACGGCTACCTAGCAGGTTCAATGAATATCCCCAGCTCTGTTAAGGGTATTTTTTGGTACTTTGTAAAAGGATAGTTTCGTGGTGTACTCCAAACCACAAAGTAGTGAAAAGCCAATTGGGCAAGGGGCTTCCGCAACACATTACAAATCGAGTATACAGTGAATCACGACAATTTACTAAAAGCAGCATTTTAGTGGGTCGGATTAATGGAATTGTACTGGCAAAGCCCTATCCCGCCCTGCTAAATTTTCCATCCTGAAAATATGTGATGTCTGGTTGCTTGGTGTGGTAAAAGTACCCTGGGCTGCACAAGCTTGAGTGCTCGACGGTAATCGCTACCTTGAATCTCTCGACCATGCTAATAAGCATCAATCATAATACTCATAACAAGATAACCCCGAAGTATTTGGAAATCATTTGACAACTCCACCAACGTTACTTTCACCGTATAGATTACGTTTGTGTTCTGTCGTCATAACCCAAACACTTGTAACAAGAATGTGTTGTGGTCCCCAGCATGTGGTCTTGAACCACGCCAGGGCCACGGAATTAACCCTGGCCCGATTACGCTTGTCTGATATCCGCGACGAAAAGATAGGATAGGACGTGGACACAACCGTTTACTTCAGAGCTCAACCTCGTTGGTGTCGTTGTGTCGTGTGTGGGGTTTGAGCGTGTGTATTTATACCTCGGATGTGTGAGTCATATATGCGCTAACATCAAGACCTAGGTGTGAGGATAATCCAAGATAAATATCCGTGTGAATGAGGGGGGGAGTTGAGGATCCGCGCGGCTGGCGGCATGCTGCGAAAAGGGGAATACCGTGTCGGAGGTGGAGCGACCGGATTAAGGGGTGTGAATAAACACGATTCACAACAAATGTATTAAGAAGGAGAAACCAAACTACAAAGTTTTCTTCACGGAAATGGAACATCCGCGCTGCAAAGTCAACAAAATAAATTAACGCATATTGTAGTGAAGATAAATTTAATACCGTACCTGAGCCTTTGTCACACGACGCACGTCAGAACGGGTATTTTGGGGGGAGGAGTCCCCACCCTTTTGTAGAGCCGTGCTTGCTGACACACCCATGTGAATAGCGCGGTGTTGCTAGCGCGAAATCTTCAAACGCAAAGACGTGAGACACGCCGTCTTTGACGCCTACGGTTATTCTCAACTTAGGCCAACCAGCTTGTGGTGTTTGAGAAACAGGGGAGAGTGGTCCAGCAGAAATGTCCTGCCTAATCTAACCTGCCCAGTCGGAAATATCTTAGACCCATTACGCCATCCTAGACACGATATACATATCGGTCATTTCCTAACCATTTTCAAATCTGTAATGCTATAAATGCGCAATAAATAACCAAGCGGTAACAAAGTTTGTGTTAATTCGGTTTGATGAATTGTACAACGGAGCTCGGTTTAAAGTCAATTGGTTCATGGCTAATCAGCTCCTTAATGTTTACTTTCTAGCCTGACAAAATCCTGGTTTGAATTGTTTATCTTAAGTGAAAATGAAATTGCACGGACCTGATTTTCCAGTAGACTCAAAATATGACAGAAAATCAAAGCCCAGTTGCAGTATAAGTTTCGTTGTAAACTTAACGTACTTAATTAGGCACCAACGTTCTTTCCCGAAATCAGGAAGGATTCAGATTTATCTCCCAAAGCTGTTAGCTGCGTAAATCGGTTAATTGAATTCCCCTACTCTTTGTTCTCTGGTACCAAGTTTTTTTTTGACCTCATCGAACTTGTTTACATTGTTTAATAAACTGATGCATTCCCTTCCTGAGTAGATCTTCATCATTCCCTGGGGATTGCAAAAAAACTGACGTGAAAAAGACCATCTCGGCTTCATGATCCCAGAATTGAATAGTTAATTTTTTTTACTGGAACGACATATCAAAGCAATTTCGAAGCTTTTAATTCGTTTTCCTAAAGAACATATGTAGACCCTTTTTGAATGTGTCATGTAACACAACAAATTACTCTTTCAAACTGGCCTCGTCCACTTCAATTAGTGTGCTAAAGTTTAATGTAGATTATTTCTAAAAAAAGTAAACTTTGTGCTGGACCTCTCACCATTGTACAATTCTGGAACAGCCCATGATTGTCATTAGGATGCGCGCGATTACTGACACAGCTTGAAAGCCGCCAGTTTGCCATTTGGACTTTGAGAAAAAACCCATCTGACAGCAATAACCAGGCTCTGCCAATCCCATTGCTTCAATCGATATCGCCAGTCTCCTTACAAATAGATTGGGTCGTTAAACTATTGGCGTTTGAAATGCTTTCACCGGGGAAATTGGCAAAGACACAGTCTCAATGGTCCCTTGCATCGATGCTTGCCAAGTTAAACCACATATTTAGTCTTGACATCGGTGATTGGTGTCTAGGATTTGCATTTTCAAATGAACCCATAGTCTTCTCCCCGCGGTCATTTACGCCTACATTTTGTTGGCAAATCACGAAGTTTTTAACCTCATTAATACTTTTCCAATGAACAAATTTTCTAAGTATGCTTTTGTTGCTTGTCTGGTAGTAAGTAGGAACAAGATTATTTCGGCCCCTCAACCTTAAAAAAACCCCGATATTTATGTAATACTTTACGCACGCTATAACTCTCACAGAATCCTGTGCTTTTTCCATTTGCAAGTCAAGAAGTGAAGAGGATTTAATATTAAAAATTATAGTACAAACGGCAAAGGCGTTTATAGATTTGGGCGCTAGGGGTCTACAGGTAAGTCTCAGCTGTGAGGTTTCCCTTGTGGTGGTCGAAAACTTATTGGATTACCTTCAGCTTCTTGCCAACTGAGGTGAACGCTTCGATGGCCTTCTTAATCTGTTCCTGACTGTGTGCGGCAGAAATTTGGACACGTATGCGGGCCTTGCCCTTTGGCACAACCGGATAGCTGAAGCCGATCACATAGATTCCATGCTCTATTAAGACAAGTAGAACATTGTTACTACACTTTTAACACATTTATGCATAAACAGAATGTAATCAGTTGTAAAATACTTACTGAGCATTTCGTCGGCAAACTCAGCTGCAAGACGGGCATCCCCAAGCATGACGGGAGCAATAGGATGGCAGTAATCACCCTATAATTAAATTCACTTTGTTAGACACTGTGCTGACATTGTGAAATTAGATTATGGCAAAGACCTACAGAAAGCTTAAATCCACGCTCAGTCATAGTGTCACGGAAAAGTTTAACGTTAGCATGCAATTTCTGCGGAAGAGCAGAGCTCTCAGTAAGGAGGCTGAAGGCTCCAATGGCAGCTCCGACAACAGCTGGAGGAAGGCTGTTTGAAAAGAGGTAGGGCCGACCACGTTGGCGGAGGAGAGCGACAAGTTCCTTCGAACCGGTAGTGTAGCCACCCGAAGCACCACCAAGAGCCTTTCCAAGCGTGGAATTGATGATATCCACTTTCCCCTGAACACCGTAGTACTCCTCAGTACCGCGTCCAGTGTCACCGAAGAAACCGGTGGCGTGGCACTCATCCATGAAAGTAATAGCCTTGTATTTTTCAGCCAATTCCAGGATGTCCCTAAACGCATAATGTATATATGAATGGGTTCAAATGAAGGAATTCAGGCCAGTTAACTGGACGCTTACGGAAGCTTTGCAATGTTACCATCCATACTGAATACACCATCCGTGGCAATTAGCTTAGTGCGACAGTCCTTCGCCTCCTGAAGGCAACGTTCAAGATCCTTCATATCACCGTGATTGTATCGAAGGCGTTTGGCACGACAAAGACGAATCCCGTCAATAATTGAGGCGTGGTTTAGTTCATCAGAGATGACACAGTCGTCAGGAGTGAGAAGTGTTTCGAAGATGGCCGCGTTGGCATCAAAGCAACTTGGGAAAAGAATACTATCTTCACGGCAATGGAAATCAGCAATCATTTTCTCAAGCTTCTTGTGAATGTCAGTAGTGCCACAAATAAAACGGACGGAGCTCATTCCAGCACCATGAGATTTAAGACATTCCATGGCGGATTCAACGACGCGGGGATGGCTCTGAAGAAAAATAGTAAAAAAACCAATGCGGGACTTACAGCAAGTCCGAGATAGTTATTGGCACAGAAGTTGATAACACCCCCACTCATGCCTTCTACACAAACATCAGCGGCCTGTGGAGTGGTAATAACACGCTCGGTTTTCCACGTTCCAGCAGCTTTGATGCCATCTAGTTCTTTTGTAATTATCGACTGGACAGCAGCGGCTCCGGATAAGCACCGTTTTGGGAAAACGGAGAGAACTGAATTAGCACCGTCTGCGTAAAAGAAAGTGGCGATTAACACTTTGTTAGATAAAGGACTATGCTATGAATAAAGTTAAAATTGTTACTTTTAGAAAATTAAAAACATATTAACAGCAGCATACAATTTATTATTAGTTCAATTATTTTAAAGACTAACTCCGTGAAAGTAATTATACAGAATATTTACTACAATTAATAAATAAACAAAAGTTTTGAATAATGTGTATGAAGATTTTGAACCCTCAATAGAATGTAGGAATGCATTATATGATGAGATAAGATTTTCAAACTTACTAAAGAAGCGTACAGAAATCATTGTTTCGACCACAACAAAGGACTAGCTGAACTCTAATTTCCTTACTTAAATATGTTTACGATTTCAAGGACATTAGTTGGCACAAATGCTTGATTTGAACAAAAGGAAAAGAAAACAAATTATGTTCATATAACAGGGCTCCAAATTCTAATTCGATATTTATTGCCAACAACGCAAAATTGCAGAAGCATTATTATTGAGTTAATAATGTTATTTATAATTTGTTGCTACTCCACTGAATAAGTAATGATTAAACGGTCAATTTTAGCATGAATATCATTTTTACGTACATTTAAAATTAAAACGGGGAAAATTTAATACATGAATAAGTTAATTACTTATAGGCGTATAATGTTTAGCAGAAAACATAACACGTAATTGACATGTTTTCCACTTTTATATTTTTGGTTGGAAAATAGTAACTTTTAAATTTTTGCATACTCAAAGGTCTCTTCTGCCACACATATATATACACGTCAAAGCATAAACTGATTTCAAAATGCAAGTTTTGACGCTAGCTAACACACATATTTTATCGATACTTAAAAAAATTACCTTAGTAAAGATAAGGGCAGCTAAAATATATTTTGTGTGATGGTGCATTTGGATTTGAAAAAAACTCCTAGCTTTGCGCTTTGGTTAAGCCACTTCATTCTGATCCTTAAAAAATAGGTTGTAATTATATGAAGCAGGATTATAAAATTCTTCTTCGTGGTACAAAGAAGTTTATCTAAAGAAGACCCACTTATCACTAAGACAATATTTTTTTTTCAAAACTAGGTAATGCGTATTTAATCTGTAAATAAATCCATTCAATGCAGCTGCAACTCTAAACAAGTGCAGCACAATTTTACAAATTATCTTGTCAATTCCACCAATGTTTAATGCTGGACACATTTGTAATTGTTTTCGTTTTACCTAAACGTATAGTTTATAGCGAATAGATAATTTAAGTAAAAAAGTCACGAAATTCACGAAAAGTTGGATTTAAATTGGAATTGTTAATCGACTAGAAGAAAACACATTTATTCAACAGGTTACTTAAAGTTTTAGTGCGGTTTTTCAGTTTTTACGATATCATTGCCTTAATTTAGTGCAAATTCCGGCGGTACTTGATGTCTTTTCATTAAAGAGTTGTCAAAATAAAAGAAATTAACAGTGAGTGTATGTTTGCCCATAAACTGGCCTCATTTATTGTAATGAACACATTTGTATGTGTTCGCGAAATGCACATGTCGCGGCCAAAGCAGCTGTCACTCGCGATGGGCCAAGTTTTATTCATTTTATTTGTAGTAATAAACTGCAAATCTTTTGATGTTAACACTGCAGAGCCTTCTCTTTGATATTAGTAAACCCAAAATTTCAGGCAATTTTGAGCATATATTTAAAACACCTTTTTTCACGTTCAGTTTAGGAAACTGAATCGGGTCAAATTTCAATACCGAATTTAAGGAAGATCCCATGAAAATCCAACAGAAATTTTGGTATGAACTCAATCCATTGAAACTTCCTCGATATTGCTCACCATAACGAGGTCTTTAGGACTTGAATTATCTCTTAATTACTATCCCTTTACCTGAAGAACTCGAAGACGTAAATAAAACTCTGCATTCTAGTTCCTTACGTATAAGCGGAACGAGAAATGTAGCAAAAATGATAACCAATCATGTATTCTAGTGGGAAGTTAAATTTAAAAGGAAATCTGCAGAGTCAAACTCAGAGTAATAAGAAAAACGTAGTGAATTTTTTCTCATTTAAAATGAGCAAATTAGCTGCTTTTACATTCTTTGTGCAGTCGCAGAGTAGCCAAAAAGGAGCCTTAAACACAGTTTATTTCTGCTTAAAATGTTTCCGTTTTCATAAAAATTTTAAAGCGCAATTGATTTTGTGCTACTGACCGCGACCAGAATTTAACTCGTACTCCTTGTCAATAGGTAACAGGACGGAGATAGGGAGGTTTTTGACTGGTTCCACGAAAACATATCATTAGGGGCATGCGCCTTCAGAAACAGTCGCGCGTCGACAATGATCCATTGAATCTTAAGCAAGTTAACTTCACTTGAGCGTTTCAACTACACAGAGTCCTTCAATGGTGATTTTTAATATGCAAAGCAAGATTCAGGCATTCTTTGGTTCTTAATCAATTGCATCAACAAATAATAGCAATGGAAAATGTACAAACCGCTCCTTAGTGTGGGCTTTTACATGTACCATTAAGCAAATTTGTCTAAAACGCATTTAATACTGGATTTGGGTATCTTGGTAGGCATTGTTTGAATGTATTCAGGTAAATCTAAAAGTCTGCTGTTTTTGGAATTCAGACCAAGCCTCACCGACTTTGCATTGGCCTTTGAATGTTACTGGCATAGTTTATGATTCGTGCAAGATTTGTACACACCGGGTTTTCTTCACTGTGGGTTTAATGGCATTTGAATTGTACATTGTTGAATATAACCTTATAATTAGATATTCCACCATTACCTGCTAGATACGACTAGCGCTTCTGTCATGGCAAGATCGCTCTGGATGGTCTCGTCTTGTTCATACGAGCATAAGTAATTTATTCCCAATTGGGCTTCCTTATAAGCCTGCACAAGCACTACACACGTCCTGCTTCCAGCCACAAACGCCAAACTAAGTTTGCGTGCACACTGTGTTTTGGCATTTTGCAAACACGGATTATCCTGAGGTCAGGGTGAAAAACGTGAAGCCACACACTTACAGTCTCTTCTAATGTCTACTTAGTCGATGGTCTGGGGTATTCATAGATACCATGGTAGACAATGCAGAGATCTGCGAGTGTGCTTCAAGCTACCGGATTAAATACGTTTTGCCGATCAAAGTCCTATCTTAAAGGTGGGAGGCAGTTCTATGAATAAAATGTTTGCAAAACGCCGCCCACGACCAGCCATGCCGCCAAATATGCAAGCAGGCCAAACGCGTTTAGACTTTGAATTGAGACACGGATTTTATCAGTCGGCTGTGGATTTTCATGAATACAAATCCACGCAAGTGTTATACGCTGCGATGAATACGGTGCATGCGTACATCCATTCAACTAACATTACAGGTAATAGCCGTGTGCTTAACGTGTCTAGTTGATGCAATTTCTCGTCTGTCTAAATTTTGCGCTAGAATTCACAGTTCCACAGCTGGAATTTAAAGTTTGCTCTTGTCGTGCAGATGACAGCAATCTATAGGGTCAGATGAATTAGAGTGGATGCACTTTAAAGCAACCATTCAGTCAAGAAATACAAGAAAATTTACCACACATCAATTTAGATTCATAGAAATGCTAAAATGAGCACGCATTCAGTTAAATTTGTACCAATCTCATGCCGAATACCGCCTGCCTGAAGTATACATAACAGCGCCGTCGTCGCCAGAATCTAACTAATAACCACATCGTCGTAATGCTCACGTATTCAATATCTGATTTGAATATTTTCCAACATATGACTCTGATGCCCTGTTAGATTAGGTCTCTGATTAATTAAACAGAAGCGCAGCAGTGTCAACCCTTTGCAAAATGCGCGGCTTTAAATTGCAACAATTTATCTCTAAAAAAAGTACATCCGAAAGTACAGGCAGCTTCTGCACAATGCTTAAAAACATTGTATTTACGAGCATAGCTATGGCAACTTAAATCCAATCACCACGCCTCCTCAGAACCCGGAGTATTTTCGTGAGATACGATCGTGGCGAACGTGACAAGTAAGCCAAACAACTCATTAAGTATGAGCACAACAATAGGCTCAGTTACTTGGCCTCGATTCGATGAATTGGAGTCACTAACTACGACTTCGGCACCTCGTCTGTCTTAAGTAGGCGCCTGAGGCATCTTATGGGTGCTTTTAGTTACCATTTGTCAACTCCGTTCCACGTTCTTTAACCCAATCGGATGCCTCCCCGGTTGCAAGAATAGTGTGATTCCATTGCTGCAGAGTACTCAGAGGTTGCATCACTCAAGCCGCTGTTTCTCACGCTAACGTGGAAACTGTCAGCCTTGTTCGAATTTCAAAATTGCTGCTATTCAAACATGGAGATTGACTCGAAATAAATCCGACAATGTGGCCTTCTCTACAGCCGTTCACACAAATTTGTCACCACAAAAACAGCGTGGTGATTGTCAACGTAATTTTGGTCTCCAGGTATAATCCAGTTCAAATCATCCCACACGAGGCATCTACGCGTATTTATCGAGTTTATTGCCTCTAAAACAATGCTAGACCGGGAATCCGGTTTTTGTGAAATGTCATTAAACGAGTGTGAGTTAAGCCTCACCACGGGTTGATTGAATGTCATCGAATGGTGACTACAGCTGACGGCCGATATTCACTCACGCAAAATGCTACGTAAGGCTCTTATGTTCCAATATAGGTAAACAGTTACATTTGCTATCAACCGCTAACCGTCTTGAATCTCCTGTCAGTTTACGGCGGAGGGGATCGCGGCTGCTGGCAGATTGGAGGGTTACGCCACCGGATCGGACTCAGAGACCTGTTCTAGTTTCGGCGAGCATCGCTGTCACAGGCTAAGTTACCGGTGCCGGTAAAGACTGCTAGTTGTCAGCCGGCTTAGAAGCTGTCTTCATGGGTTCAGTTGATTTTGCTGTCGCTGCAGGAACAGCTCGTTTCAAGTG